TATTTTAATAAATAAATAATAGCAAACAAACAGGGGCGAAAACGTATTGGGATCGTCGATTATTATTATTATTATTATTTTTTCCCGCATATTCATCGACCGTTCAGATAATTATTTGATTACGTAGTGTTCACTATTATCATTTGGAGTACATCCACTGTCACACAGAGATGTAGATCGATCATTATTTACGCTATATAAATTATATTATTATTTGCACGTTACACTATTTTATTTTTCTGAAGACAAAGTACTTGAATCTTTAAAAATTTCGACGTCGCCCTTTTCTCTTCTACAATGTTCTATTAAAATTATGTCACAACATTTTGACGTGCTAAACCTCTTTTTTCTGGACATGGGGAACACAGATTTTGGGCATTTCACCAGAAAACCCATTGTAAGTAAATATATTAGTGGTGTGTGTGGTTATAACTTATATATCGAGTTAATGGTAATAGGTCATCAAACTTTCATTGAACTTTGCTTGTCAGCAATTAAAATAATTGTGTGATACTAGACAATGAGATAAAACTTGTTAAGATGACGGTTAAAACTAATATTTGCATTATTAACAGCATTGACCATAATCCAACTTCACCGACACCGCAATTGGAACGCCGAGCTTCGTTTTGCAACAATTGAATCATGTAACTTTAATTTACCAATTAACACACATGATTTGAACCCAATCAAATGACGTTACAGTTTACTGATATGTTAATCAAAACTATCAAATATCTTCCATTTTCATCTTAATCGAAGTTAACTGTCTCAATTATCGTTTATGAATGTTTTTTCCCAAAACATTACATTTCAAAAATTCATTCGACCACTGGGGGGGGGGGGGTGTAATGGAAAAGAAAAATGAAAAAAAGAAAGAAATCTTGGGTTTGTTCCATATTTGAAGTTGACTCAACTAACGATGAACTTTATATTAATTGCAATGCCGATTTTAGAAATGAAAGAATGCATAGACTTTCTCAACAGTTCTATGAACTTTGACAATGAAATTTTGAGATTAATATATTGAAAAAAAACGTCAAAATCATTGAAGCGTTTTCATAAATTGGTGCTTGATATGGAGTTTACATGCAAAAAATTGAAGTCTGAACGAAGATGCGATAAATCTATTAGTTTTAAATGATATTTCATCAAATTTTTTACATTGTTCGACCATGTCCAAATAGAATGATTTAATTGATGTTAAATTACAACGACCTAATTGCAATTAGGTGAAAGATGAGTGATGATCAGTACAATTAACCCGTCATATATCATATTTAACATTGTTGGTAATTACGTTTTGTATGATAATGTAGTATTAATCAACGCATACAAGAAAATAACTTGATCTAGAGACGTAACCATAAATAATTGGGTAAATAAATTCACATCACAATATTTATTCGTTACGTTACAGTTTTATTATAACGAAGGTCCTTTAATATTTACTTATTGTTGTACTTATGTCCAATCATTTTGTCGAACTATTGAATCTGATGTTTTTTTTTTACTTAAAATATGAGGGCCAGATGAATGTTTTACAATTTTTTTGGACGAAAATGTTAATAATAAGAATGCAATGGAGAAAAAAAAATCAAAGATATGAGTGCAACTATAAACAAAGAATAAACATCTTCATTGCAATTAAAATTTGATATAACCAATTACCCTAAATAATTCACCATATGACAAAACTCAATGCCCACTCAGAGACACGAGTCCCCCACTAGTCTTTGGTCTTTACTTTACTAGATAGATACTTCGAAAAGTGAGGGGCCCATTACACCCCACCCCCGCCCAAAAATCCCCTGAACCAATAAATGTATGACACGTTTACAATCTCGTTGCACTTTATTTTGATAACGTTATCGTCAACTTATTGGACATATGATTACACGTGTCAAACAGGCATATCCTCCCCCATTTCATCAACAAGTATGCTGGTCGATTGATATTTATTTGGCATTGATTTCGTGTTTCAATGGTCTTAAGCTCTTAGTCAATTACGTGAAAAAATGAGAGGAAGAATTAAGGACGCATTTGATTGTAAGTATGTAACTTACATAAAAATAAAGTTTTATTTGTATAAAAATTATTAATTAAATATTTTTAATTGATTTAATTGTCAACTTGAAAATAATATACTTGTCAATTTTTTAATGATGGGTAAATGAGATAAAGGGGTAGATAAGAGAGAGAGAGAGAGAATGAATTCCTTGAAAAATAAAAATCTACTCCTCCCTAAAAGAAGATATTTTTTTTTATTTTTGAGGAAAGTATTTTCCGTAGAAAAAATATCAATTAAACGCCAAAAAAATAGGAACTTGGGTGGAGATAGGGTATTTTCTACGCAAAATAAAATCATTCAAATAAACTCTAATTTCATTTAGGCACCGTTTGATAGGCACCAATTTTCTAGGGAAAATGGAATTAGGATGCCAATTTTCAACTATTGTGTGTTTGATAGTGTCATATTTTCCATGGAAATCAAGTTCTTGAATTTTTTGGGAGTTGTAGTTTTCTAGCTTTTGTGGGAAATCAATTCCCACCAATCTAGGTAGCTGAGGTCTTCTTTATTATTTTTTATTTTTTTGTAATGGAAACAAATTTTAAAAATTATTGTAAAAAAATATTTCCTATTAATTGACAATTTTCATGTAAAACAAAGCCAAACAAACACAAAAAATACTTTTATTTCAACATTTTCCACGTAAAAAATTATACCAATCAAACACAATAATTTATAATTTTTAGGAAAACAATTTTAGGCGATTCAAATCTCTAAAATTCGTTTTTTTTCAATCTAAATTTTATCTTTACAATTAAATAGACCCTCAGTTAAAAAAGTTACATTTTAAAGAAATATGCAGACATGTTTCTGATATGAGTAGTTAAAATTAGAAAAAATAGTAAAAAGGCTTTTTCAACTATTATAACCACAACAGGACATTCTATACGACTGATTTCATGGCTTGACGTTCAATAGCGTGGAGTTCTCTTAATCAATAACACCCAAAAAAGTAGAAAGATGAGAGGTTGCCACGTATCAAAATTTAGAATTTTATGAGTAAAAAAAAAAACTCCATTTTTGCGTTCGAGAGTAATATATTGGACAATTATAATAATGAAATAAAAGTACTTGTCATGCCAAATTAAGGGCCATTCGAGTTCGACAGGGATTCTACTTCTGCTTCTCGTAGAATAGTTTTTTGTGAAAGTTACATCAAATTAATTTTTTTTAAAAGCTCTTCTTTTAAGATAAATTAATTTTAAAATATTTAAATAAGTTCAAAAGTAATTTTTAATCTCAAAAGTAGCTTTTGAATTTTTCTAAAGTGTTGTCAAACAGGCCTAATACTTGGGCCTAATTTTATGGAAAAAATTGCTATTCAACTCATGTGAGATTTAGACGTTATTCTTACTATCGTCGAGAAAAACCAAAAAAAGTCTTCAATTTGCAATTGGAAACATAGGCGCTTCACTTATACACGCTTATAATTGTGTGGTTTGAAATTTAAGAATTTTTTTGGGGCCATATTTTTGTTGCTTTGTTTAGGTGTTGAAGATAAATAAAGTAATAAACCACAGGAAAAATTTAGGTGGTAGATGTTTGCAGTTTACACATGTACAACTTTGGACGGCGTTTAGTTGGTGAAGCGAATTTAAGGTACCAAAAAAACAATAAAAAATCATCGATTAAAATAAAAGAAATCAACATATATAAGTAAGACTAGATATGGTCCAGCTTGGTTCTCATTAGTCCGGATTCGAAATTTTTGATTACTTAACAAGTGGAATCGTCGGGTCCAAGTTTAATTATGGAATCGTTCGGGTTCGATTCAATTTAGTTTCATTCGATTTTCAGGTTTCTTATTACAAAATAGCGTAGTCCAATTTTATGCGTCTCTTTTTGTTGAGTTCTTCGTAGATATGATCGTTAAAATCATAAAAAGAAGAAAATAGCAAACTTAAAATAATTAAGAGAAGTGTTGTTGAATTTCAATTCGAATTCCTTAGAACGGTAGAAACGGCAGTACAGTAGAGTAACAGATTTTGATAAAATTTAGGTCAATTTGAATAAATTCGCTTGAATTAAATTAAGGGATTTGCTACATGTACCCGAGTGTTTACACGCCCTCACATGGGGGGCGGGTCCCACGCATTCATTGTGCGCGGGCCCCGCCCCCAATGTGAGGGGTGGGTAACCGGACGTATAAACGTTCGGGTACAAATAATTTAATTCTAAAATTAATTAGTTAGCAAATTTATTTAGAAAAAATAAAAAATTTGACTTATTTAAAATAAGTTAATTAAAAATTATGGAGATTTGGTTCTTCAGTTTTTGATATAGAATAAAACCAAACCCGTAGATTCTCTATTCGGATATTTAACTTAAGAAGAACTATTCGGTTCGATAGTTTTGTCCAATCATAAAAATAAGTTGCTCAATAGCCATACCTATTGATCATCTATTAAAATTATACCATTGTTGTAATTCAATAAAGATGTGTGAAAATGTAAATAAAAAGAAAATCATTATATTTCATTTTTCCTTTCGACACTAAAAATAGTATTACAGTGTCACGATGCCACCCTTTAATTAATTATTTGGGCAGAATCATATTTCTTATCCTTCGAAAAAATTAATATGCCACATCAATAAATTTATGCAGGTCAAGAAATATATGCTCCACACACACAACAAAACCTTCACTTTATACAGAAAAGTGCAATTCTATATTAAGAATTTACAATGATATATAGTTACCGTACCTTGGAACCAATAGAAATTTTTAATAATCAAACACCATTTTCAACTTGTATTATCAAATTAAATTAAAACTTGTAAGCAGATTATCAATATTGTTAAAATACATTGGGATCCGCCGAAATTAGATACCCCGATTCCACAAAATAAACCAAGCATGTCAGTATGTCACCGGCATTAGTGGGACCATTTTATGGAAGCATACCAAGTTAGACACTATTAAACAGCCCAAAATTTTTGGCACTTTACAGATCCCTGAAAATACTGAGAATGTGAATCACACAACTCCAATGAGCTGATGAGAACAAGTGTTTCATATAACGGCTGTAAAACCCAAAAGCAAAAATAAGTTAAAAATATTAAGCAGGAAGAAAGGTCAAAAAAAAAAAAAGAAAAAAAAAAAGAAGCAGCACTAAGAGAATTGGGGGGCTTTGAAGATTTTCTTGAAGTTATCGAGCAGAGGTTGGCCTTTGTTAGTTTCTTCAGGCTTTTCTGATTGGTTGAAATCAATGAGTAGGTAGGTTTCTTTCTTTCTTTCTTTATTATTGACTCTAATTTTTATTTCATGAAATTTGGGCGATGCTATTTGAAGATGGCTTTTTGAGTGTATGAACAGCAGAAAAGTGGGTTATTATAGTGAAGTTGACTAAATTTGGAAAGTGCCCATTATCATTTTGAGTGTGATGAACATTAATCCAGAACTTATATTACTTTTGCTACAATTCTTGAACAGTTTCTTGGTTTTTTGAATGGGATTTGAAGTGGTTCAAGTGTGTTTAATGGTTTATTCATTTTGCAGAAATCGCATATAGGTCGAGTTGCTGTTCAAGAAATCAAGACCTCTGTTTGAGTAGTAGAAGTTGCTTTGATTTTTTTGCTGGGATTTTTTAATTATTTTCCATCAAAAGTGAAGTGGATGGTCCAGAGTGGATAGACTTGAGTGCTAATTTTTTAATAAAGTCAGGTCAAGAAGATAACAGAAAGGAGGACAAAATCTTAGCATTGTTTAGACCATTAATAGTTCACTATCAGCATGTCTGTTGCTTTATTTTGGGTTATTTCTCCCACTTCCGAGGTTTCCAGTAGCACCGGATTCTTGGAGTCTGTCCGGGAGGGTATCCGGAATCTAGATTCATCCCGGTCCATTTCTCAGGGTAGGAACTTGATTTGCAATGGCAGATTTCGCAAGGGCAGAAAATATAGCCGGAATTTAAGTTATCCTAATGCAGATTCAAGGTATTCTTGCTTGGGCGAGTCGAATTCAGGGGATGGAAGAAATCTTTCTGTCATATCAAGTATGGTAGCTAGCCCGGCTGGAGAAATAGCACTAACCTCAGAACAGAAAGTTTATGATGTGGTTTTGAAACAGGCGGCCTTGGTTAAGAGGCAGTTGAAATCCAGTGACAATTTGGAAGTAAAGCCAGATATTGTTCTTCCGGGTTCTCTTAGCTTGTTGAGCGAAGCATATGATCGTTGTGGTGAAGTATGTGCTGAGTATGCCAAGACTTTTTACTTGGGTTAGCCTTCTTAATCTATGTTTCTTTAATTGACAAGAATTTAGTCCAGGTATTTCTCGGGGGGTTTAAAGCTACAATATGTAATAGAGAAAAGAAATCCTAATCTGCTTTTGATTCTTTTCAGGCACCTTGTTGATGACTCCCGAGAGGCGAAGAGCTATTTGGGCTATCTATGGTGAGTGTCGATGGCTAAAAGCACAAAACTTAACTTTTAATGTGAAAGCGTATATTTAATCTGGTTTTAGTTAGTAGATTGTGTCTATTTACAAATTTGCTGTTTCTGTTCAAATGGTTTTGGGTGGTGGATGGTGATTAGCATATATGTTACGTATTGTCGGTAGAAAAGTTAATGATTCTTTTTACTAAACACAAATTGTGTCATTATGGAAAGAAAATTTGGGCCAAATGTGGAATATATGATGTTCATTCATGCCTAACTGAAAATACAGATACGAAATTAGATTGCCAATGATTTTTCATTAAAATGGAAGATTGGATTTCCACTAACACTGAGATCTTAATCTATTAAAATGTGAATATATTGTTAGTTTTTGCGTTTGATTTCCTCTGCTAATATATGATATCACGAGCTGAAATTTGTACTTCCAAATTACATTGTGTATTGGGACTATCTCTGATTTATGCCTGTGAGTAGTGCTCTAAAATGATGATCTGTTTATGAATTATTATGTATGTGGCTGCTTTTGATTATAAATGTGATATAGAATTAATTTGTTGAAGATTATCTATATGGTCTATCTGCTTGGAACAATTTTCTTCGACCATGGATGGCTTTCATGCTTCTTCACAAAATAGAATTCCTTTGACGGGCCAAACTAAAGGGAAAGGATAAACAGAAATGGAAGTTTATGAACTTATTAATCCTTTAAATTTATTGCATAAAATTTTGGATGTTTATATTCTCCATCTTGCACCCAATAAAATTGCCTTGGCCCTCCTTTTGTTCTTTTATTTTACTAGTTGAGTTGCAACCCTTTAACCTCAAGTTAGTGCTGTTTTTGACTCTTAACTGCCTGGAATTCTTGGGACAATATGATAATAACCATCACATAAAATAAACACTGCTATTCTGCTTGTAACAGTCATAATTGAGTCATAACGCTATCTAACATTCGGTTGCTTGTGACTTGCACGCATTTGATTTGGAAAAGAGGTTATTTATTTCTTTCGTTACTTTAATCTCTTCTTTAGATTTTGGATTAAAATATTACTAGAATAATCCTCATGACCACAAATAATTGGATTCAGTTCATAGAGAAAGTTTTCCTCTCATATTCGCGTATTTTTTCCGTTTAAACAGTGTGGTGTAGGAGAACAGACGAGCTTGTTGATGGGCCAAATGCGTCACATATGACGCCCGAAGCATTGGATCGTTGGGAGGCAAGGCTGGAAGATGTTTTCGGAGGGCGACCTTTTGACATGCTTGATGCTGCTTTATCAGATACAGTTTCCAAGTTTCCTGTCGACATTCAGGTTAAAATATGCTGCTCTCCTGTTCTAAAAATCATGTGGTTTCATCTCAGTAATTTCTGTTCATTTGAAGCTGCTTGTAGTCTTTTAGCAAATCATTGAGAACCAACTGACGTCGCACGCGTAAATTAAATGTCGCCTGCACATTTGATATGCAGTAGTAGACTGTAGATTACAATATATAAGTTTTTTGCTTTTTTCCCTTAATATTGTATATTCCTGTGTAATCTACCTTACTAAAGAAACATTTAAAAATTGTTGCTTTTGACTCTAAACTCTAAATCTCTCTTCGTTTTGGCTGCGTATTTTAAGCATCAAGTCTTTTTACAACCATTCTATATATCATCTAAACCTTTAGAATAGGTTGTATTGCTATGTGAGATACTAACTCTTTATTCTGATTCACCATGTTGTCTTCCAGCCGTTCAGAGATATGATTGAAGGAATGCGGATGGACCTCTGGAAATCCAGATACAAAAACTTCGACGAGCTGTATCTATACTGTTATTATGTCGCTGGTACTGTCGGATTAATGAGTGTTCCAGTAATGGGAATTGCACCCGAATCCCAGGCAACTACCGAGAGTGTTTATAATGCTGCTTTGGCATTGGGGATTGCAAATCAGCTGACAAACATACTCAGGGATGTTGGAGAAGAGTAAGTATATAGCTGTGTTTCGAAAATTATTAGCATTTTTAAACTGTCAAAATTGGTGAACTTTTACAATTTCATTTTCTTGCTAGATTTACATAATGGCTTCAACTAGGGTCTGGTGAGGGAGGATCCATTATGAGTTTCTCAATTACCGCCCAATTTTTCAATATTCTGTGTGAATTAACGAGTTTTTAATGCCTATTTTATGGTACTACGAATGAGTGAATCAACACGAACTAAAATTTTATTTGTAAATTTCGTGCTTTCACCTTTTCATACATGCTTCTCTTCATCGTATACCAACTTCACTTTCTTTTTGCAGAAGTGGCATGATAATTGAATCAATTTCATTATATTTTTGTTTTGCTAGTGCAAGAAGAGGAAGGATCTACTTGCCGCAGGATGAATTGGCACAGGCAGGGCTTTCGGAAGATGACATTTTTGCTGGGAAAGTAACCGATAAATGGAGAAATTTTATGAAAAAGCAAATCACAAGGGCAAGGAAATTCTTTGACGATGCAGAGAAAGGTGTCACAGAGCTCAGCTCAGCTAGCAGATGGCCAGTAAGCAGTTATCGACTATAGTTTCTTATAATATATTAAGTTCATAAATATAAATTTGCATGACGCACGGTAAGCACAAGATTCCTAGGTTGTTTACTGAATCCCGGCTCTTCATCCCCTTCCATATGCTTAATGGAGGACAACGGAAACAGTTAAACAAAAGCCAAGTTTTCATTTGTCAGCTTAGCAGTTTACTAGCTGATAATATTTATATCTGCTAATCACTGTTATAATCTGTCTTCTTCATAGTAATTTCTCATATACTTGTTCGAGATTGAGATTTCGTTTTACTTAAAATTGATCTCGTATGGCTTCATCTCATGCACATAGATCACGAACGAACAAAAATCTCTCATTTCTCGAGTGAAACTTGTTCTCATAAAATGGTAGAAGGCTTTTTTCACTATAATGACTAGTCTCGATTGTTGCAGGTGTGGGCATCGCTTCTTTTATATAGCCAAATATTGGATGAAATCGAAGTGAATGACTACAACAATTTCACAAGGAGGGCATACGTAAACAAACCGAAGAAAATTCTTGCTTTGCCAATTGCATACGCGAAATCTCTGGTTCCTCCATCAAGAACTTCATCTCCTTTTGTCAAGGCATGAGCAGAAACATGTAAATATTGCTCCATATAGCATCTGAATTATATGGTTGAAAGGGAGCAAACTTCGTACATTAGATATTACTCAATAGTGAATTTAATTTATTAAAAGGTGGTAGCAGGTTGTTGATGTTGAAGACTACATTCTCAATGAGAAATTAAGCCTAAAGTGACATTTTTTTTTTGAATAAGTGAGAGAATTTGGGGGTAAAAATGGAAAAATACTACATTTCCATGCTGGAAATTATATTACCACCACAAAATTTAATTGACGTACCACATTATAATTACACAATAATTAAAACATGTTTTTAATAAACACACAACAACAAACTTACAATTCAATAAAAATTTCAAAAACAAAATATTATAATATTGTGTGGTGTTACTGGTCATTTCCTTCTCTTTCTCCACGAATTCTTCCTACGGACTTCCTCCGACCAGTAGCTCAATGGTCAGCTCGGTATCGGTAAACAACTGTAGTTTCATTCCCCCAACCCAATGGCTCAATAGTGTGTTCAAGTTCAAGAGTTGAATGCAATGTCATTTGCTTTTGTTCTGCGTGCATAAAAGATTGGCTGCAACCTCCAGATTTGCTCATGAACTCCAATAGCGCAGCGTGAAAAAAGGAAAAGAGGCAAAAAGGTGTCTCTGGTGATTGTGGTTATTAGTATAAAAAATGGAGGCAGTGATTGGTGTACAGATAGACACCTCACATGGGCGGCGAGGGTGGGTGAATTTTTTGACATTATTTATTCACGTGGAGTTTACACTTTGTGAGTTATCTGTAAAAATTCTGTAGGAAATTTTTCTGTACACCAAACATTTTCCAAAAAATGATGATTATGGTGTCTTCATAATGATGTTTTATTTTAAAAATTTAGATAAATTTTGGGGCAATTACTAATCCTACTTATGGTTATTTAAGTAAACAAAATAATTAATTAAAATTGTAGTGCAACAAGTAAATTCTGTGGTGGTAATATAATTATCTAAAATATATATATGCCCTTGTTTGAGTCCCATTTTTGTGAAGAAAATGAATTTTTGAATAGTGTATTGATAGGAAATGTGTGGTTAAAAAATAAGAAAAAGTTTTTTATTTGCGTATAATATTATTTTATTAAAGAATGTGTGGCTAAAATGATGTCAAATCACTGTTGAAGAACATATTTTTGTTGAAAAATGGGGCTCAAACAAGGGCTATATATATATCAAAATGATTTATTAAGAAATCAGTTTGGATTTTGAGTTTGGGCCAAAGGACGTCGAAAGGTGGAGATGGGGAAAGTGTACACATTTGAAGGTTTGGTGAAAAGGCTACACGTTTGCGTTTTCTCATTAAGGTTAGTGTATGGGGGTGGACAAAAGTTAGTACAGGAATAGTCGGTTTAATTTGGTTCAATTTCAAATAAAAATGAAAACATAACTTTCAAAAAATAATAATAAAATAAAGGCTAATTATATTACCACTACAAATTTTAATTATTACATCACATTATAATTAAACCACAATTGAAGTATATTTTTAATAAATACACCACAATAAATTTACAATTATACTCCTAATTCAATAAAAATAAAAAATTGAAAAAGAACACAATATAATATTGTGGTATACTTATCACCAATATTAATCCTCATTTTCTCAAAATTTCCCTGCATTTATTTCACAGCAATTGAAACCAGAAGATCAATGAAGAACACCATCCCATAGTAAATTGAATGTTTGTCACAAATAATTAATATATCCGAAAGGATCATTTGAAGTTGTCAGTAATTTGTTTGTGTTACCATTTTTATTTAAAATATGAATTTTTAATGTATTCACAATTTCATTTTTTAATCTTGAAAGTCTATTTTAGAAACACTTTTAAGTGGAAATTAAAAAATCCTAGCGACAACAACCTTATAAAAAAAAATTTAATTTATTACAATCTCGTAAAAAATATAATATAGCAATAAAACTTCTTGTTGATTAAGAACAACTTTTGAAAATTCATATACCTCATGGACAAAGATCCACGAAAAGTGACGCACCATGTATACACAAATTCATTTACACTATCTATATACATGCAATTCATGGTAATGAGTGGTGTAGCTTGTGTATATCCCACATGATGGATGCGTGCAATTCATTGAAATTATGGTGAGTATATATACACGTAAATTCATAAACCCATTTGTTTCACGCGGGTTAGTCGCTAACAATTAAAAGTGATCAGACGATTGTGTAAGGGACAAACCTCTTGAGACAAAGTCTCAAAAATGGGTGTTCTTTTATTGGCGATAACTTTACAATTGAAAATCGAAAACAAAGTGCCTCCAAGGAGTACAAGCACACGAGTTACTGAAAAAAGTGTTTAAGTCTAAAACTAAGGAAATTAAAATTACATGTTCTCTGTTCGAGAGTTTTTGATTCGGTCCTTTGCTCTATGTCTTTTCTCATTTTTATACTTCATGGACGATCTCTTTGTGATCAACCGCTTAAAAATTGCTTGATCGTCCTATAACTGCCCACTTTCCTCGTAATGGCCAACTTGTCATGAAAAACTACATTTTTTAAATGCTGCCATTACTCTTCGTCGTTCAACCGCTTTCGATTGAATTCCTTGAATTGTGGAACGTGATAGGGCTGCTTTAACAACTGCTTTGATAACTGTACTTCTTGATAACCACAACGCTTTATATTTGTTAAGACCTTGGGCGACTTGAAGGTTTGGACGAGAATAGAGTAACAGCTCTGGACGACTGTATGGCACTCCATTCGCTCAGATTCTGGGCGACTTGCAAACTTGGGCGATGACGTTACCGCGTTCTTGGGCCTTCGTCTTGATTTGTTTGATTGGGCTTCGTTCTTTGGGCTATCTGATTTGGGGATCCTCCAATTGGGCTTCACTCCTTGGGCCGTTCGATTTGGGCTGAACTTTTATGCGTCAACACCATTTAATAATTAAAAATCATAATCTTAAATAGTTGTTTTAAAATCATAACAAATTTGTTTAACTCAACAAAAAATTCAGATTCTTAATTTTCAAACTTGAAAAAATAAATTCATTTATCGCGAGGGAAAATATTATCTTGTTGTTGTGAAAAAAAAAGGCAAAAATTGTTGGGAAAACTATGAACAATGAGATGTTGAGGAAAAAGAACGAAAGAAATTAGACTTTATATTTGTGGTGTAACAATAATTTATTTAATTGAAAAGTATATTAAAATTCTAATTATGTAATTTTACTTAATGATATTTTAGTAAATAAAAAATTGTGGTGCACTTAGTAAAATTTGTAATGGTAATATAATTACCCTTAGGCTTTATATTTGTAGTGTAACGATAATTTATTTAAATAAAAAATATATTAAAATTCTAATTATGTAATTTTACTTAAGGATGTTTTAGTAAATAAGAAAGTTGTGGTGCACTTTTTAGTAAAATTTGTAGTGGTAATATAATTATCCTAAAATAAAAATAAAATAAAATTGGCCATTTGAATTTTGACAAGAGCAGCCGATAATGTCACTTATTCGGTAGCTCCCACGTGATAACCCCCGTTCAGATGTATGTGCTGTATATATAGTGACTTCGCCTTTAGAGTTGAAAGCATAATATCGTTTAGAGAATGGTGGTTAAAGTGTATGGTCCAGCTTATGCTGCTTGCCCACAAAGGGTCTTAACATGCCTCATCGAGTTAGGGGTCGAGTTTGAACTTGTATCGATCGATCTTGAATCTGGAGAGCAAAAGAGTCCCAAGTTGTTGCTTCTACAGGTATGTCAAATAGTCGGAGTTCTTGACGTTAATTAATAAATTTCACTCAAATCGTGCCCAAAAAATCCATCGCAAATAACATTTTATATTCGACGCATTATCCTTTATGTATTATATCTTCAATGTACACTTTTTGACACGATAAGATCGATTTATTTATATTATTTATATTTTTTCGCACGTCCTGCAGCCGTTTGGACTTGTTCCTGCCATTGAGGACGGAGATTTCAGACTTTTTGGTAATGCCGTGGACAACTCGATACGGTTTATTTCTGGCTTTCAAGTTAAGCTAAATGTGCAATTTCTTTTTTTTTTTTTTTTTTGGGACAGAATCTAGGGCAATTATCCGATACTACGCAGCAAAATACGCCAGCAGCAGCATAGAACTCCTGGGAAACACTTTGGAAGAAAGAGCCTTAACCGATCAATGGCTGGAAGTGGAAGCTCAAAACTACAACCCTTTAGTATACAATCTGGTGCTTCAACTGATGGTGCTGCCGCGAAGTGGGCACAGAACCGACATGACGGTGGTTCAGAATTGCAAGACAAAGCTCGAAAAAGTGTTGGATGTTTACGAGCAGAGACTGTCGAAGAGCAAATACCTAGCTGGAGATTCATTTACACTGGCTGATCTGAGTCACCTTCCGAATACGAGGTTTTTGATGAATGAAGGTGGCTTGGAACATCTGGTGAAGGAGAGGAAAAGTGTGCATTCTTGGTGGACAGATATTTCGAGTCGTCCTGCTTGGAAGAAAGTCATGGAGCTCAATAATTAATCTCAACCGAACGATGCGATCTGATATCGATGATGATTACCGATCCATGTGATGGCAGGAAGTGAAACCTACTAACCTAGTAATCCTCTCAATTTCATACTTGTTTAGATCTATTTATATTATCGACGAAAATCTCAACTTATTCGAATAAAAGTAATCTCAACCTTTTAATCACTCACAAATACCTTGAGACTTCAAGGAAGGATGTGAAAATAAGGGGAATTAAATGACCAAGATCAGTGTCGGTGCTCAAAGCCCCTGTTCAAGCAAAACCATATTCTTGTACATATCATATACATTATAGTCTGTCATGATACACAACTAATGATAGTCGGCACTTGAAATACAATTGTAATTGCAACGAGCAATTTACAAGGTTGGAGAACAAGCAGATCAACAAACCAGAGATATTAAAGAATGACACATTGCAAAACAGCAACTCATGATCAGTATGTTCTGGTTAACCTTCTCTTTGACGATAATGAAGATAACAAACCTGCTCAATATTGCAGCATATAGAGCACATTAGCAATTGACTATAAAAACCAGAAGTATATTTACAAAGCAAGGTGATTGCACAGATTGCGTGCGTATACACATAATGGTGTCAAAACGGCCAGGTTCACACGTGATAGCATATTTTCCTCCTCCTCCCATAACCCCGAGCACATTTGAATCAAAGCTCTACAGCTGTGGAGCTAATTCGATATCAATGACAACTGTATCACAACTTATAGGACTTGACCTTCCCATCTAATAATACCGCATCACATTAGTGAGCTTTTACTACATTCTGCATATGCCATTCATTAAAAAACTTGTATATTTGCATAAGCATATATACTTCGGTAGTAACAAATTCTCAGATGTATGCAGCAAAATTGATAATCCCAATATTGAAGAGATGATTACATCTTAAATGGATATAATTACATGCATCTTCCACAAAAACTCTTCCATTTTACTGGTGAGCGACGCACCGAGCATAAGATACCTACCAACAATGTCCATCATACACGTTTCTCAAACAATTCTATCCACTCTCGCTTCTTGGTTTTAGATCAGACTTTTTGTAATTACATATAAACAAACAAAATTTAGAATAAAGTAAAGGAAAAAGAGAAAAGAAAAAAAGAAAAAAGAACAGTGTCAATGAAGTGAAGGTAATACTTAAGAACAGCATGACGCAGATTGGGATCCTTCTGCTGGTCTATCAACTAGAACCAATCCAGCTGGATTTTGAGTAGGTTGAGCCCTAGGTAGCCTCTTAGCTGTAAATAATGCAATTACATAGAAATATGAATACTTCTCATAAACAATCAAGCATGCTGAGAGAATCACATAAAAAAATATCACGTGATGAATGCTTCAGAATACTGGATTAAAAGTTTTAAACCTAGAAAATTTAGACATTCGAGCTCCACAGAGATTGAAAAGAGACCAGAGTAAGAATTAAAACATTTGAAAACTCCAAAGCACAAGGCGATTGCAATTACGTTTGAAGGAACACCACCTCGACATTTTCCATATCTGAAAACAAAGACTCTGAATGCTGAAGGAATTCTGGTTCTATCAAACACCAGTGACATTTCAAGCCAAGATGGCATAACAAGATAGGAGTCAGGATCTGGCATGGATAACACTATAGCTGGGGTAGCCATGGACTATTTAAGTACAGATAATAACTTAAAAACCAAGAGCTTTCAGTTTTTCTAATGGACTTGTATCAAATAAAGAACTTGTAGAGTCACTCAAACATCCTGGCAACAAATACGCAATTGTCGTTGCCAAGCCCCCAATCTCTAACTAGAAAAGAAACTCAACATTTTTTGCGCAGTTTATTCAAATAAGTAGACCATAGCATTAGTACTTGGTCTTTATTCAACCGAAGATGAAAGAAACTTTTGTCATCAATTACGTATAACATTGTAGGACATACAAAGAAATGAAACAAACCTATCTCATAGAATATTTCATTGACATTAACAGCAGTTTTAGCAGATGTCTCCACAAAAAATAGACCATTTTCCTCTGCATATAGATTTGCTTCCTGAAACATAGTAGCACGGAAAACCATAAAGTGGCATTCTTTTAAGAAAGAAACCAAAATTTGGTAACATATATATATTTTCTTCAATTTAAATGTAACCTCGAGCAATTTACATTCAAATAAATGGAAGATTCATTAAAATAGATTGCAAATTTTCTCCTAAAAAAGATATCCACAGCGAATGGATGAAAATGTATCATTCAAATTGGGGGGGGGAACAAATCCAGATGTCTACTACTTACTTCAGCAGTCACTTTCCTCTTATCTTCGAGATCAGCTTTGTTCCCAGCAAATGCCATGACCATGTTAGGATTACCTGCAACAGCCAAAAAATAGATATGCTACTGTGAAATTTTTCTAACGCAACCAAGACATTTACTGCAAGTGATTATTTGGTTAAAAGTCATAAAAAAATCTACAGAATACATGCCTAATTTGGCAATATATGAAAAGTAATATTAAAATACATAACTTAATAATTAAATGACATTATTTCTTCCTCTCAATCATTCTGGAACAACAATCTTGTGTGACTGAAATTTCTTCGTAGTTATTTGGATGATAAGAGCTGTATATTGAATTTGTAAAATTAATCTATTTTTCTTATTAAAATATATATCAAAGCATAAGCACCTTGCTTTTGGAGTTCTTGCACCCACTTCTTTGCCCGGGCAAAAGAATCCTGATTCATAAAACAGAACGTGAACTTAAATCATCTAAAATATATAAACAAAATCTTGCATCCACTCCTTAGCCGTGCAAGTGAACCAAACAGGACAAGAAATTAAATCAGTTAAGCATACACATACGGTCAAACAACATTTTAGAAACCCCACAAATTTTAGATTTTCCAAGACCAAATAAAATTCAAAGAAGCTCCCTTTCCAGCGATCCCGATACAAGCATCATGCATGTACAGAAAAGCTACCACAAGCCTTATGTTCCATGACATTCACACAAGTTTTAAGAGAACTGCCTCAACCTCAAATTCAATCATCAGGAGTGTACAAGAAAAAGAATTCCCACAAAACAAAGCAGGCCCTAATATAAATTCAACAATACACTTCCAATACACCTTCCACAATTGATTAAAATAAGTAAATTCACACATACACAACAATTGAAATAGATGAATACCGGGCTAGTGATGTCATAAACTATGATTGCAGCTGCGGCGCCTCTGTAGTACATGGGAGCCAAGCTATGGTACCTTTCCTGCCCGGCAGTGTCCCAGATCTCGAACTTCACCGTTGCATTGTTGACCGCCACCGTCTGAGAAAAAAAAGCGGCTCCGATCGTTGATTCCTACACGGTCAATCAGTTTATCCTCGATCGTCATTGTAATGATCGATTATCGACTACTATAGCGTAAATACAAATTGAGACCCCAACACAGAAAAGTCAATTCCGATAAAGCATCAAAAAAAGAGAGGAAATTATTACTTGGAATTCGAGGAATTGCCCTTTGACAAAGCGTATGACAAGACTGGATTTACCGGCGCCCATATCTCCAAGCAATACCTGAGAAATTAAATCACCCACTAATGCACAAAATTCACGTAAACCCAAAAAATCAACTTAACTAATCGAAAATTGGGTCTTACAAGTTTCGCATTGAGATTGTGGTGACCCATATTAGCCATGGAAATTTTATGATTGAAAAGATGAGAATTTGGAGAAGAATTAATAGACAAAAGAATTTGTTTAGGAGCACCTAAAGTGAGAGGGAAATTTCGCCAGAGAGAGAGAGAGAGTAATGCTCCTTGAACAGGGGCAAGGATGGGTTTAATATACTACGTCGTTTTAGTGATCGTTTTGTATTTTGATGCAAAAGCAGACATAGTTGGGGGTCAACTGTGGGGGCTTTCTATTTGGAAATTTATTGGGTCTTACCGACCAAATACTTCGCGAACATTGGGCCACGCCGTGGTAGGCATCTCGACATTGGTATCCATTTTGAACATCTAGTTAGATATCATAATGTCCTCATAGCATGATTAATATAAAAATTGCCCATTTGGCATCCCCCAAGTTTAAAAGGACTGGCAATGGATCAATTCGAACTTAGTTTGTGTCAAAGCAACAGCAATAGCAATATGAGACGAGTTTGATTCATATGGGCATGACTTGTCTCAATACGATCCTGAATGACTCATGAAACGAGTCGAAATGACTCAATGAGCCCCTCAGTCCATTTATCTGCACTAACCCATAATTTGACTTAATCATATCATGTAAATTTATGAATACTTATCGACGTAAACCTAAAATTTTCAGAGATCGTATCTTTAAAATATTTATACTTTTCTTAAATCGAATTAATATATATCGAGCAAATTTTCATTTCAAACCCTTTGCATAAGAAACTTTTAAACAAATAAATCTAATAACGTATAATAAAGAGTAATATTCGAAACTAAACAATTTTTATTGGTACCATATATACACGCACATATTGCAGTCCAAATAAGAAAAAGACTGAATTTAAACCCTTTAAGCAAACAAAGGGGCTTGATTTGCAAAGCTACTTGAACTGGCGGATCTCTGGGGTCGGGGAATAGGAGGAGAAGGCCTATTTCGAATAAACCCATAATTAGTCCTTTTTCCACTTAAAAGTGAAGAACAAGACCCTCTTGAAGCAATCTTCTTTGAAATGAACCTCGAAGAACTTTTATTCCTCTGAGGGTTTTCTTCGCTGCAACGTTCCAAAAATAACCCTCCATAGCTTTTGCAGGACTTGAGCTTCTTCTTGTACGGATTTTCTGGCTTTGCAAGGTCTTCCAATGCCCTCACGTTGGATAATGATGTAAATGATTGCGATTTTCCATTGTAATGCCTCGATAGACCTCTCCTGTAAATATATAGGAAAGTCAGGCTAAGACGCATTTTCTAGCAGTGTAAAGACAACTATGTAAATGAAATACTTACTTGACAGGGAGTTCTTGGAGTAAAGAGGACATGTCTTGCAGGGGCTGGAAAGAAGAGGAACTGGATTCTGAAGATCCACACGTAGGAGAAGAAGAAGACGAACCAGAAGAATTCACTTCTTCAAATATATCTTCAGATTCTGAAGAATCACTAGAGTTGGGTGACGAAGAAGGAGAAGAGACAGAATCCAGTGCTTTTTTATCACCCTTGATCCCATGGCTGCTTTCTTGATCGGAAAAAAACTCCATTTTCAAGCAAATTATCGAATGCCCGCGAAAACTGAGGGTGAGTCGAGGCCTAAAATAAATTCCAAAAACAAATGCAATTCTTGAGTCTTTCTGATCATAACCCACCAAGCAGCGTATATATATTTGTGATTTAAATAAAAAAAAAATCTGGGAATTACGGGCTTGCAGCTGAAGGAGGTTTGATCAAGAACTTATAATAGGTTGAGAAAATTGGACTTGTGACCATAAAATCATGGACAGGTGGATAAAGAGAAGTTTGAGCAGATAAGGGCAAGGACAATAAATACATATTCCAACAAAATCTGCAATGTACAAGATTAAGATTCGGCGTTATCCATTTTCCCCACTTTATCCGGTTCCAACGGCCAAACCGACCTAGAAATGGTAATAAACTAAATAAATATAAAAGTAGTGTCTATTTCAGTGGAAAAGTTTGGGTGGGGCGGTCGCACCATTACGTAACCTTTTAAGAGTAAAGAGATTTTGGGCACAAGATATTGTTTATTTTAAAGGGTAAAAACTAATAAATATTTCTTGGAAAAAAAAAACACAAAATTTTTTCTAGTTTAATTTCTAGCTAATTTTTTAACATAGTAAAAATTTTGGTTTCCTATTGTATATTTCATCTAGGAATTATGCTGAACACTCATTTTGACAGCCTCCTCACATGAGTGGGCCTCGTGATTATTTTAATTGTGAGACCTACTCGTGATGTGAAAAAAATTGTTAAAAAATGGTGTAAAAATTAGTATAAGAATAGTGATTTTTTCTTTGAGCGCTAGTCCCTATTTGATAATCATTATTTTGAGAAAATAAAATTTTAAATAGTGATTTTTAGGAAAATGGTAGTTAAAAAGTAAAAAAAAAAAATTTAATTTAGATGTAAAATATTTTATTGCGTGAATGTGTAATTAAAAATGAATATATAAAAAAAAGAATTTAAAAATAATGATTGTGAAACATGGCTAAAATTTGTTTCCACTTTCCACTACTTTTTGAGTGGATCGTGGATGATAAACCGCCAGACTTTTACTTTGGGCGCTTCTTGTTTATGTTTATACTGTGTGACTTTCTTTCTTCGAGTTCGACGGTTTCAATCAAATGGAAATATTGCACATTTAGTCCCCAGTCTATTGTTACAATTGTAAATTGGTCCTCAACCATTTGAAAAGCAAGTTACTTTCTAACTTTTTATCATAATTGTACCATCAATTTCCAGTAGTAAAAATGGCATAATATTTTTAAAACTAAAAAGTAAAAACCCATTTTCCAAGTAATCTTGGCCTTCCAAAAGCCATTCAAAGATAGTGAATATCTGAGTAAGAAAAATTTAATCTGTCTTAAGATATATTTTTTTTATTTCTAAAATAAGTATAATTTTTCTTAAAATGCAAAACTTGCTTACCACGCCAAACACGATCATTACATAAATGTGATGGAAAAACCATCCACAATTTTGGGCCGTACTTATCCATCCACGTAAGAAAGATGCACACACATTCCAAAAGGTTAAGAATTCAAAATGTCATCGCATTCGAGACGGGCGGAATCGACTCTCGTTTATGGAAATGAATCAAATTTATGAACAAGTTAATATATCTACACCCCGACATCGATAAGAGACGATGTGTCGATGTCTACACTTGCGCATTAATCTACTAATAAGTAAGAATTGTCTCATATTAGATAGTCGATGCTAGAAGAAAACACGATGAAAAAACCTACTCATATGCATGTTTTTGCTGAGGAGTGAAGCTCATGAGAACGAGTTTTTTGGCAGCATTGTCAAAGGCTGGACAAAACTAACAAACTGTATCAAATCGAGCGAATTTTCTTAAATTAAATATCCGAATATGTAGCTGAATAGAGAATCGACAGATTTAATTCGGTTCTTAGTTCTAAATCCAAAACGAAAGAATCAAATTTTCTTAATTTATTTATCTGAAATAATTCAAATTATTTTATTTTTTCTAAATAAAATTATTAACTATTTAATTTAGCACAAATTCAAAGTATGATTTTTCTATTTTCAATTTTCAGCTCAAGTCCAATTTAATCAATTGACCCGAGTTTTATCCAAATATTATTTTACCATAGTGTCGTTTCTATAGCTTTTGAGAAATTGAATTGAAAGCTCGATTACGCCCCTACACCCTTCTTTATTATTGTGAACTCGTTATCTTCATTTTCCTGTGATTTTAACAATCAAATCTATAAAGAACTCTACAAAAAGAGGCACAAAAAATACATAAAATTGGACGATGTTACTTTATAAGAGCTAAAATTGAATATATCATTAATTAAATTAATATAGCGTTATTGTAAATATTGAAAAATTAATTATTGTATGGAACGCAGGAACCGAATAGAATCGAACCCAAATGATTCTATAATTAAATTAAACGATTCTACTTACTAAATATCCAAAAATTCGAAAAAAAAAATCGAATCGGATCCTGTCCAAGTCTATTATTGTCATTACGTTTGGTGTAAAGTTATATTTGAATCTACTCCTAATTTACTCCTAATTTTGACGTATTTTACATAACTAAACTGTTATTTTTATTTAGAGGTGTAAAAAATCAAATATGACCATTAGTCAACGGATATGTTGGGTGTGGTTGAACATAGGGTTGGCAATGGGCCGAGTCTCGGCTCGGCCCTTAATGCCACGAGCTCGGATCGTGCTCGTGGGCTCGCCTAATTTTTTTTATTATAAAATAAAGAATAGAATTTTAAAAATAAAAAATGTTAAAAAATATAAATAATTTAACTAAAACAAGTTTTTATTTTTTTTATTTATATCATATTGTAATTTGTAATACTTTTTATAAAGTATAAAATATTTATATAATGAAAATGAATTATTTTTTGAAATACATTTACAAAAAATATATTTTTTTGATTTCTTTTTAAAGTTAATAAAGAATAGAGTTTTAAAAATAAAAAATGTTAAAAAATACAAATAATTTAACGAAAACAAGTTTTATTTTTTTATTTATATCATATTGTAATTTGTAATACTTTTTATAAAGTATAAAATATTTATATAATGAAAACGAATTATTTTTTGAAATACATTTACAAAAAATATATTTTTTTAATTTCTTTTTAAAGTTAATAAAATGTAAACTCTCCTTCTTTATTTGGGTTTGGGACCGGCTATATCAATTTTAAGTAGGCGGAGTTAAAAATTGTACACGAACAACTTGTTGTAAAGTGTACAATTTTTTAAAGAAAATTAAATTTAACGATTAAAAAATAAATTTTTTTTGATTAATATAATTAAATCAAATATCACTTACCTGACGACATGCAATTTCAGCGTATTTATCTTGTAGTAAAAAATGAGCGTCCTGCCAATCCTTCACACACATTAACGCTTCCAAAACATTTTCTTTCAGTCGGCTCCTGACATTAGTCAAAACCCTTTTACCTACACTAAAAGCAGACTCTGAAGCAACAGTGCTAACCGGAGGTGTTAATAGATATTTCGCAATTGCAGAAACAATTGGCCAATGTCTTTCATACTTTCGCCAGAATTCAATTACTTCTTCTGAAGTTTTTTTAATTGTTCTATCTGTTGGCATATTATGATTGAAATAATCAATTAATTCGACAGGCATCGCATGTTTGATGAGATGCAGATGTAGACGACATGGCACTAGATGAACACATTGCAGTTGAATCATATCTAAATGTATTAATGCCCTGAAATAAATTCATTATTTCCGCAACATCTTCTTCAGTTTCAGCAGAAGGAGTAGGTGCAGCAGAGGGTACCCGACTAACATTTGCACCCATTCTTTTCGCATATAAATCATACATACCACATAATGTTTGCTCTAAATTCTTATAGGTGATAGGTGTATCAAGTATTAAAACTTTATTGATTTGATCAATTACGTATTTAGTTCCCGAAATATTATATCGGGGGTCCATTGCGCATGCTAAAGGAAATAATATAGGCAGTTCTTCCCAATATTTTCTAAACTTTAATTCCATAACAATTAAAATTTCACTAAAAGTAGGATCATTTTTATACTTATGGAATGTTCTTGCAATTATATAAAGGCGTTCAAGTATCATATAGCTTGTGGGATAATAAACGCCAGATAAAATCTTTGTGGTCTTATTAAAAGATGTCAAAAATCGTTTAACTTTCAAAACTAAAATCCAATCGGATTTATTTAACATACCATCATCATCACTTCTAACATGTCTATTATTATAAAAATCAGTTATTAAATTTTCGAAACCTTTACATGATTTTAATAGCAAGTATGTAGAGTTCCATCTATGACCTACATCGCTAACAAATATTTTAGCAGCCATCACCTCTAGTTCGGCACAAAAATCTTCAAATGCTTGTTTTCTACTATGAGAGATCGTAATATATACTAATGCATTCCTAATTGTTTGAAATTCATCATTTATATGTTTTAAACCATCTTGCACAATTAAATTCAAGATATGACACACACAACGAATATGAAACAAATACCCACCAAAATCAGGTTGAAGTGTCCTACACAATTTATCGACGACTACCTTATTAACGCTAGCATTATCAAAAGTAAAAGATCGAATTTTACTCTCACAATGATATTCTCTAACAATACTGATAATAACATTATATATATTATTAGCATTGTGAGGAAATTCAATAATTCTAAAAGCAATAATTTTCTTATGCATGTACCAAAGTGGGTCTATATAGTGTGCGGTTGCAGCTATATATGCTCTTTTATTAACTCCTTCCCATATATCAGAAGTTAAGGATATAACATCCCCATATTGTTTCAAATTCATAATTAATTGTTGTTTTGAATTATTGAAATAATTTATTGTATTGGCACGAAGAGTGTTTCGACTTACCCCAACGTACCTCGGTTGTAGATATTTTTTCACGAACGAGACGAAGTGTTGGTTGTTTGCAATAGCCAGAGGCAACTCAGTGACGGCAACAAATTTCACCATTCCGGTTCGAGTCTCGTCCTCCGAATACACCCACGTGGATAGGGGTGAAGTTGTAGAACCGGCGCCTGGACTGCCAAATTGTAATTGTGTTTGACCAGTTGGAAGAAGTCCATGTCTGGCTGTACATGATTTGTAGTGGCGGTTGAGATGAGTGGTACCAATTCCTTTTTGTCATGCCAATCTTTGTTGGCAATATTTACATACTGCTTTAGATTCTGTAAGGCCATCAACGACTTTTCCCGTTGAAATCAACTTAAAGTGATCACAACATTTTGCTTGTTTT